CAACTACGTTTCGGATCGAGTTGAGGTGAAGTTGGTCAATAGTAACATTGAAGTGGTTCAAAATCTCCACTATCAGAGAATGTAGAGGAAGACGGAAGCCAGCGATGAGCTGCTCCTCGAAGATCACGATCTCATCGTGACCGTGCTCCCATGGGTAGTCATCGGATGGGTGACTATAGATGAGGTTTCTAGGGAGGTTAAATTGAAGAACCAAGGTCCTAAGTCTCTCCATCGACATGGAGGAAGGACCAAAGCTATCTGGCTCCCTACCCCGGGAGGTGGAAGTCGTCTCGCCAGAGGCCTCCCAAGCCTGCCCCCAAGTTCCCCCTGAGCTTGAGGGGGCGTCATCTTGGTTACCACCTCGGGGAAAGACGTGGTACGGATACCCAGACATACTAAAAAAATGATAAGACTCACCAGGGAAGAGATGAACCGAAAAGACGGTGTGAACAGAAGAAGAGCTCGAGCAGCTAGATGAAGACGCGACCTTAGAATCCGAAAGCAAGGCAAGTTAGCGTAAAGGAAATGAGGCCTAGGGCCCCCCTATTTATAGCCACTATGCCCTCAAATCGATGGCTCAGATTAAGGCGGATTTGACGGTTCGCAGTCAAGCTGACCGCACGTCTCTTGAAACCAAAATGTGACTAGCTGCACATCTCCCATGATTAATGTAATGCCGACTACACGACTTCCAGAACTGAGAGCCATTTTGGCGCGTTTTTTCGAAAAATTCAGGAATTCGCTGACTTCTGCACGTGTATTTAATGCAATCAGTCAATCAAGTTTGAATTTTGGGTCAAATCCACCCGTCACACTCCATGAACTCTTCGCGCCAGAGTAGAATCCCTAGCTCGAGGAGTGGGGGGCAATTGATGGAGGGTGATTTGACCCGACCTCCTGAGAAGATGACACGTGGACGTGACTCAACACAAGCGACAACTCAGCATAACAGCCTGGCTACAACTAAGTAGCGAGCTCGCAATAGGATGAGCTCGCTATAGCGCGAGCTCAAGGACCCCCGATGTACTGAAAGGGAATACTCCAAGGCAAGTCTATCCCAGCTCGCGAGCTAGGATAACCAGCTCGCTCCAACGCTTAGGTAGGAGAACTGCCCCAAAGGCAACCCCAGGAGGAATCACCTCGAAGTACCCCTAGGAGCTTGCTACAAGGCAGCTCATGACAGGATAGCTCGCTACAAGGCAGCTCGCTACTATGCGACGCGACGTTTTCAGGAAGCTTGTATTAGACAAGACCGTACCCTTCAGGCTGCATCACGTCTCTCCTGACCAACGGCGCAGTCCCTGCCAACCCAACAGACTACACCCACGTCTCTCGACAGGTAGTGGCGTGTCTATCTTTTCCGGGACGTGTCACTCCTCCGATTGGGTAGTACTCTGCAACGGTTACCTGCGCAGCCCTGGCAAATAACGGCTACGACAGAGGTCCGGTGGCAGTTACACCCGATTTGACAAGAATGCCCATATTTAAGAGCCCCATGATCAAAAGGGAAGAGGTATCTTGTATCCTGCATTTTTGTATCTGGAGTTAATCTTGAAGTATCTTTGATCTAGTGCGACCTGCACTCTTAGCCTCCTTCGCACTACTTACTGCTCTTTCAAGCATTCTAATTTAAGCATCAGAGTATTCCCACCGGGCAAGTCCCCCGGGAATCCTTCATTGTCTTCTTCTCAGGTACCGTCCGTCGCAGTTAAGAGGCAGTCGACTGCCAGGTAGGAGTGCTCAGATTGCACAACATCAGGCTCAATTGAACTTAACTCAAGTAACTTGATGTATAAACAATCTACTATTTATTGCCATTTTTGTTAAGGTTAAATTATAAAAGATGAAATTCTCAGTTCTCATATTATAGGATGTCGAGGCATAATCGAATCTAACCAGGTCAAACCTGATTGTTTCAATTAATAATTGGATCGGTTTTGGTTCTGAGTTTTTGTGTCTCAATTATAATTAGGCTAAGACAAGTTCCATGTTGATCTGAGTGGCCAAATGCCCTCGATTCAGAATAACCTTGGTGTATGGACAAATCCTATGGCCGATGGCATAGCCTACACCAATGGGTAAATATCTTTGACTAGTCTCCTTTTCTTGGCCTATTTATAGATAATCAAACTGATGCCATGTCAGAAAGACTCTTGCTTGGTGTGGTCAAAGTTTGGCAAGGTAGTTGAAAAATCTGAACAACTAATCCTACCTTGTGGGACACTTGTCCCTTAATCCAAGAGGCAGCAAGAGTCTAAGAGGTTAGGAAAATCTCGGATAAGAAGGGGTCTTTCCCTTGTCTATATTTTGTACCGTTGAAGCCCCATTATAAATATGGGCTTCTGGTTCAGCTTGACACACAACACATTCCAAGAAAAACCCTTGCTACCGACTGCCTCCTTGGGTCATATTAATATCCTCTGGTTTTATATTGGAGGATCGGTACAAGTGTTTTAGCCCCCAGCTGTTACTAACTTTTGTATTTGTATTTGCAGGGATCTTCATTCAAGCTATACTTATGTACAGATTCTACAATATAAATTTCATTTGTCTTTAAAATCGCTTTATCAGGAAAAAAATTTAAGAGACATTCTTGAACTATGTATCTTTTCGTCTTGAGAAGCAAAACCAAGTTGGTTTTATTATAAAATACAATCCATGATTTTAAAGCCATCAAAATAATGGTTTTTGAAACACAAAACATAACTTGGATTAGAGATAATGTATTATCAATGAAACATGATCTCGTTTAATAGCATGGCTGACCTTGATACTGATTTTTCACAGGATTTGATATTTAAAAATGATATTAAGCCTTTATATTTATGCTTGTTCCCAGTTACAATACATATTGATAATTTGAACTATGATTATCAGATGAAAACATCTTCTTTCAACAGAAATTGAACATGTTTTTGGTTTCTGCTTTGGCAATTATTTATTTGAATTAGATTCCTATTTCATAGAAGAGAAAATTTGGGTGCATTAATGCAATGTCTATTTGTTTGTTTTCTCTCTTTTTTCTGCTTTAGACAAATTGCAATGGAATATGCCCACTTTCAATAGTCTACCTTTTTTATTTATCAATTTTTTCCTCTGACTAATTTTGCAATAACAGAGCTGAAATTATTATTTGTGTTTTTTATTTATTTTTTGGAAATACCTTCCCAGTTAAACAAACATAATGGGATCTTATTAATAAACACATTCATTAGATTTTGTCTTCCATTTACTGCAAGTATTCTTCTTTATTTTGAAAATGAAAGATTCAAAGTATTCCTCCTATTTTTCCCTTCCTTTCCTTACTTTTTCCTTCAAACCAAATACAGCCTAAAGGAAAACAAAATATATTATTTTAATAGTTATACTTGCATTAAAATATGTAACACATGAAAAAAAAAGGGAAAAACAACTTAAACAATGTTATAATGAAAAAAAAATGTAATTGCCAATTTTAAAGAATCGGGGGTTACAGTCTTGAGCTTGCAAATTTTTTGTTGTATAAACTCTCTTAAATCCACTAAATGGTACTGGATCCTAATCATTAATTTAGCCATGCTTTAACAAGTTGTAGAGTCCTCAAAGCATTACCAGAACTCTTGAGTGCCCACAGTTCTGTGACTTCAACAAGGCCAAATTCATTAGGGATAAGTGGACTGTAATTCATCTCAAAAATCTGAAATTACAGCCCCTTCCTTGTCTATTAGCAGCCCTCCTATAAACCGCATCTTGTCCGTGAATTTGTCTTCAATCTACGGGCAGAATTCATCTGACCTGTACGATGGGGTCCGATTTCTGAGATGGACTGAACTATAAAAACCCCAATTCATTATTATAGAAAAGTAAAGATAATGTATCTAGGTTTTTCTGATATGTTATATGGTCCCTCTGTTTCTGCTGATGGCGATTAAGGAGTTAGCAAAGAAGGGTTTTTCTGCCAATGGCGTCATCACTCTCTTCGATTTTCTACAAATGGCATCATCCTCTGTTTCTAAAAAATCTTTCGCTACTGTTGTTGCGGAATCTCGCGCTCTTGAACAAGTTAGAATTGGAGTGAAACCTCCATCTTTTTACACAATATGGAGAGCCAACGGTTTTCTCTTCACATGAGGAAATCACCAAAGAAGTAGAGAACATATAAAAAAAAGGTTATTGATTTTACTCATTTACTTTTCCGATTTCAACGCGAAGAGGATTTTTTTAAGGTGTGGTTGAGAGAATTAGTCCATCTATAAGGATTTCTCTTTATATTTCTTAAATGGACACCTCATTTTAAGATGGATTTGGTATCCATGTAGCTTTTGGAAGAAACGGTGCCAGTTCGGCATTGGAAATGCATTTAACAAAAAAAATGCCTAAAAATGTTATTTGGTTGAGTCATTTATCTCTCTCGAAAAATCGTGTGAACCGTTTATTAAAAAGACACCAATTTTGATGTTTTTCATTTTTTAAACCAATTTTTTACTGTAAAAAAAACGTACAAAATGTGCAAAGAATATTTTATCTCGTTTTTCAAGACAAAATCATACAAAACATTTATCTTATAAATGACATCGATACCAAACAACCTTTAAGTCTGATGATTCTTCCACTTCAGATTAACCTCTCTAGACTTTCGTCCCATTTATCAAATCAATTGCAGGTGATATTGGGAAAGTAGTGCAAGTTCATGTTGCAACTCTCCAATGTACTATGCCAAAGATGACATGGGTGTGTGTTGAAGTAGACATCTCCTTAATTGCTAAGGTTTGGATAGGAATTTGTAAGGATGGCTTTTTTCAAGAAAATAATTTATGAAAATGTCCCTCTCTACTACTATGAATGCCATAAAATTGGGCATGAGAGCAAGGATTGCAAGAAGAAAACTAAAGAAATTTCAGAACATCCTAGTGAAGGGGAAGAAATTAAAGAAAAGAAAGAAGGAAATATGGAAAAAAAAAAGGGGTAAAAGAGTTGTCATAGTGTATTCTGTTCATCATTTTGTAATACTATTCATCATTGTCCAATGTTTGCTAAAATAGGTTTAATAATCAAGGGAATGATATTATAAAAATATAAATTACAGTTGAATTGCTTGTTAATTAGTGACATGAATCATATTACAGAATACATATACCAAATCAATTTCTTTCTTTCAACAAACGTTTGTCACAATTCACAACCTTTGTACAAGGAGATTGACTCCATATTCAGGCTCTATAACCAGACCAAGCACAGGAGAATGACAATATTTAGGAGATAATGAGAAAGAGAATTCTGATAGAATGCGAGCCAGAAGCATTTTCAATTCTAGCATGGCTAAGTTCTGTCCAAGACAAATGCGTGGCCCAAAGCCAAATGGCATGTACAGGTGAGGAAACTTGCATGCACCAACTGATCCATTGATGAACCTCTCCGGGTTAAATTTATTTGCATCGGCTCCCCAAAATTCAGGGTCTTGGTGCAATATTGCAACTGCAATCCAAAGGAAAGCGCCCTTTGGAACATGGATTTCTCCAAATTTCATATCTTTGAAAACTTCCCTTGTCAACACTCCAACTGGAGGGTATAGACGTAATGCCTCTTGAATCACCATTGTTAACTGCCATCCATGCATCCCATACAAATAGATTATTGAATTGTTGTAGGAATTCTATTAGACTGCGTTTGAAAATAATGTAAATATGTAGAGTGTAAAATAGTTCATGTAAATTGTAATGTTGGGTTAGTTTTGCACTGATAAATTTATCGTCTTACCAAACAGACTTTTATCTGTAATGGATGCAAACATGAATTTTAATAAAGTATATGTTTTTTTTTTTTTTTTTAATCAAAAGCCCACTTGAATGCAAATTTACTTCTTTTTTATTGATGTACTTTTACATCTTATTATCAATGTAAATATGCATTAGTCTGTCATTTGTCAATGCATAAATGTAATGTTTTCAAACACAGGCAAAAATGAACCAGAGTGCAAGTTTACCCTGAACCGGGATTTACACTCCATTTGCATCGTTTTCAAATGCAGCCTTAGTTTCAATTTGCAGTGTTGTGACTCAAACCGTTCATAGAAGCATTTTAATGCCTGGGTCACTGGTGAACGGTTCGACCATTTGGGGCCAACCGTTTGGCTTGTTCAAATAAGACTGATATTTCTAAGAATTGGAAGGGAAAATCTTTTAAAGCTACCTGTTTGAATCAAAATAATTTCAAATAAATATCGGTGATATAACAGATATTAATACATGCAAACAGATTAGCTTGACCAAATCAGTATTTCTGAGAACCAGGAAAGCCAAAAACTGTTTTGGTAACTAGTGCTATCAATAAGTCTAGTCTAGTTCATGGTAGACTCGGTTTTGACCCGCAGAACCTGTTCCGGTAATTAGTATAATCTTTTAAAGGAGGTGTTCTACAATATGAATGCGTTTGTTTTCATTTGTTTTTAGAATTGTTACATAAAAAAACAAAAATATATTCTTGAATTTTGTTTTTCTTTGTTTTTGTTTTCAAAGTGAAAAATAAATTGGTTTTATTCTGAAAAATAATACATGTTTTTGAAAACAACAAAATATTGGTTTTTAAAATGAAAACAAATTTTCTACTATAAACGTTATATGATTTGTAGAACATGATGTTGAATAATTGGATGAAAACATTTTTGAAATTAGATTCAAGAACATGTTTTTGGTTTCAGTTGTTTTGAAAACCAAAATTATGTACACAACCAAGAACATGTTTCTTGTGTTTTTTATTTTAAGAAACAAATCTGTTTTCAAACAAAATTGTTTTTATTTGTTCTGGAAACCATGAAAAAAAAAAAACAATTCACGCTTTAGAACACCCCCTAAATGTGCAGAATTTGTTCTGAGTTAGAGTAGATGGTCCAGAACTTATATGTTTGCTAATGGGAGTGTTAGGTCTGACTTGATATTTGAACTTGTAATTTGATAAACTTATTTATTTGTTAAATTAATATATTTGAACATATTTATCAAAAAGAAAAATTAATATATTTGAAGCACTGTTTTCAAAACCAGACCAGACCGGCCGGTCGGACCAGAAAAACTGGGAATCGGTCACCTGACCGATTCCGTTTTCCTCCAAAACCATTGATTTTGGCCAGCAAACCGCTGAGCCGTCTAGTTAACCATTCGAACGGTTTTGATCGTTTTCCAGTTTTTTAAATTTTTTAAAATTTTTTTTTGTCAGAATGGGCCGACTGTTCAGGTCGAACGATCAGACCATTCAAACTAATAACCAAACCCCTGACCGGTTCAGTCACCGGTTCACTTTTAAAAACTATGATTTGAATATCATAATATGATAATATACAAGTATATCATGAAAAAAATTAGGCATTAGACTAGGTATATCCTTATAATATACTAATATGCATATATATGCTTAATTACATATACAATTATATTATAGTTGGTTTGGATTTAAATTGGTTGAGTAAAACCAAAATCAATCCTGATGCAGGACACAAAATGTAGAACCAGGCCCTATATAATTGGGTTGGGTACTTGGGTCGTAGGGCCAGTTTGGTTCTGTCATTGGCAGCCCTATCGTTGGTCAGTTCTCATTTCTTGGTTCTAATGGTTCAACCATCCGGTCTGACCTAAATTTGACAACATTGGTTTTAAGACATTTCTATATCAATGAAGAATGAAGGGGGTGTTGTACAGCATGAATGCTCTTGTTTTCATTTGTTTTTGGAATCCCCACATCAGCAAAAAAAAACATGTTTTTTAACTTTGTTTTTGTTTTAAAAGGGAAAACAAATTATTTTTTTGTTTCAAAAAATAATACATGTTTTTGGAGCAAACAAAATATTGGTTTTAAAATAAAAGCAAATTTTTTTTAATAAAAAAATTATATGATTTGAAAAATATGATGTTGAATAATCAGATGAGAATATGTTTTTGAAACCAGATTGAAGAACATGTTTAATTTTTGTTTCAGATTTGAAAATAGAAAACACAATACAATGAAAAACATATTTTTCTGTTTTCATTTTAAGAAACAAACTGTTTTTAAACAAGATGGTTTCTGATCTGTTTTAAGAAAAACAATTGATGTTGTAGAATGGGCCTAATTAGTGTTTGAAGATATGAATAATGTTCAAGGAAGACCATGGACCCCTAGAATAAAACCAAAGTTTTAATTAAAGATTTACCAATTTCATCCTTCGAAGTATATCTACATTTGGCAGTTGACCTCCACAAACTTGTAATATCTCAGCACGAACACGAGCTTGCCACTCTGGATGTGAAGCCAACAGCATCAAACTCCATGTTGCAGAAATTGCAGTGGTCTCATACCCAGCCAAGTACATACTCTTGCAATTGTCAACTATGAATCGTTCTGTTGTATTGGGCCCTAGCTCCCCATTTCTGGAGCCATCAAGGATTATTTGCAATAGATTTTTCTCAAATCTCCCTCTATTGTGTTCATCTAATATTCTTGAAATGGATGAGTGGATCTCTTTTTCTAATCCCCAAATATTTCTATTGCTGTTTGTTGGAAGATATCTGAGATACAATTATATTTCTAACATCAGCAAGTGATATTTCTTGGCATTCATAGCTAAAACGAGCCTACATAATGCAAAAACCCTAAGGTATATCTGAACAAAAAAGAAATTTAACCAGAATATCACAAAGTTCAAATGTTCTTATTTTTATTTTCATTTGTTTTTGAAACCATCACATCAGCAAAAAATGAAAACAAAAAATAAAAATATGTGTTTGTTTTAAAAGACAAAAGTAAGTTAGTTTTGTTTCAAAAATCAATACATGCTCTTTGAATGATCTAAATAATGGTTTTTAAAGTGCAAACATTATATGATTCATGGTTAGGTCGGGTTGAGGCCAACCCTATGTTCTAAATCCCCAACCCTAACCCTAACCCAACCCGACCTACTCAACCCTAATCTTAACCCTAATTAATTCTTTCAACCCTAACCCAACTCAAACCAACCCGATGTCAACTTCAGGTTGAGTTGGGCTCAGGTTGGGCCCAACCCAACCTTCCCATCCCTTAAAATCTAGTAGAAAATAAGTATTTATTTATCATGAGTTATGACGTATGATATAATTTTTCTCAAAAATATAAATTCATGAAATTAACAATAATGAAACATAAAATTACAGAAATAAAATCACTAATAACAATTCATAGGATCAAGCAAATAATTTGAATCTGGTCACACATAAAAAATTACAACACAAACAGAAAAGGCAAGTAATCAAGTACCTGTGAATGATTTAAAGAAAGGCATGATAGTATGTAGGGGGGCTATACAACTATCATGCATCTAAACAAATCAGTCTATTTATATATATATATATATATATAGATAGATATAGATAGATAGATAGATAGATATATGACATGTAGTAGAGTTGTAGACTAGTAGACTAGTAGACTAGTAGACTAGTAGTCTAGTACTATAGGGGGTTGGGTTGCCCGAGGGATCAACCCTAACCCAATCTGAACTAAGGTCGGGTTCAAGAATTTCAATCCTAACCCTAACTCAATCATCAACCCGACCCAACCTTAGGTTGGGTTTGGGCCAATCCGGCCCACGTTGCAGCCCTAATCATATTAATTGACCAAATTGAAACATGTTTGTGAAACTAGAAATCCATGAACTTGTTTTTTATTTTCAATTTTGAAACACAATTCACATATACAATCCAGAACAAATACAGGTACAAATGTATTTGTAATGCATATAGGTAGATGATGGGCTCGACCAGGTCAATGATGGACTTTTCACCTATATAACTATATTAATTAAGGGCAATAGCCTGAGCCCACTTGTAATGCATATGGGGAGATAATGGGCTGGGCGTAAAGGTGTCAATCGACTGTTTTGGATTGGATCCGTCTAAACCAAAATCAATTTGGACAGATTGGATGGACCAACAACACATATTGAATTGGACCAATCCAAACTTAATGATCCAAAGTATTTATTGACCTGGCTCATTTGTAAGGAATTTATACTGGATTGGGTTGGATTGACCCAATATCTGGTCCATTGATATATGATAAGATTATAAGTGTCAAAGGACCGGGTTTGGGTTGAAACCAATCTAAATTTAAATGAATTCAAATAGATTGAATGATCCAGACATTGAATTAAACCAATCTAAAATGGTCCAAACAAAATATTCATTGGATTGGATTAGACATGATCCATTTGTAATGAATTCATATTGGACTAGATCAAATTGGACAATTAAGGGCTATAGTCCAATTGACACCCCTGTGGGCTATGCCAAGGATCGACTTTTCACCTATATTAAGGGCTATAGTCCGAGCCTGCACCCAGGCCAGTTTTGGGCTATATATAAACATGCATCCAAGTTTTATTCTGCCACAGAAGAAGGTGTTAACTTTGGCTGTTGGGATCCAAAAGTATAAGCTGTTGAGACAGTTGCTGGGCTGGGCACGTTCTGGGCAGTTCATCTATTTACGCCCATGCTTTGATTTTTAGTCAGAATAAACTACGATATAATTATTAATTTATCCAATCTTACGATAATGTGGCATTTCCAGAGATTCTCTCAACAGCATTAGCTATTGGTCCCCAACGGCTAAAGTTTTTCTCAGAATAAGTTATAGCCTTGCAACTTTATCCCCTGTAAGACCTAACCTCTTTTGTCAACTAGTACAAACAGATATCAACACTGATAGTCATAACTGCAAGTTGATTATAAATCCAGATGTGCTCAGCACTGAAATGGAGACGGATAGAATGAAAGAAAAGATGCAACTCATACCTAGAATAAGGTTTGGGGTTAACAAAAAGACCTCATACAGTCATACCTTAAGCCAGGAATTCCAAGTTTCAAACGTCTGTTAGCAATGGCCTCCTGGAGGGCTCTAAGCCTTAGGAATAATTCTTTTCCCTTGGAATAACTGCTTCCAAAACATGCTCTAGAAATTACATCTCCAGAAAAGATTCTTAAATCCTCATCAATTCTTATATCTACTATTCCTCCTTCACCCTCAATTTTTCTCTTCCATGAATTGAGTAGTAAAGTGATAGGCTCTTCCATTAGGTCCACCATACTCTGCAATATTTCGAAATATCAAATAGTACATGTTACACTTCTTTACTACATGGTATCAAGCTATTACCCACAGAAAAGCTATTTAAGAATAAAAGCAAACAGGACATGGCAGAAAATATTAATTGAATTTCATTTACACTGGTTTAGATTCATGAGAGTGCAAATTTTGATTTACTTTTGTTCTAGTTTGTTTATGAAATGTAAAATGAAGCGACTTCCACTTTAAATGAAAGAAAATAGAGGTGGTAGAAGGGTATTAGGTAGGATGCAAAATGATGTGATTCCCACTTTTCCCACTTTATTATGAGAAAGAATTGGTATAGAAGATTGGTGGTGCAAAATTTGCATCAGTTTTTAGAATGCAAATCATAATTGCAAACAAATAAAAGCAAAACTGAACTGCGTACGTCAATTCACACTACAAGAAAATACACTCTTATGGTTTTTTATTTTCAATTTGCAACTTTATTTTAAGACCCTATTGAGTATTGGCTATTGGAAACAAAGAGCTACAGTGCAAAAACTGGGATTCTACCATGCTACCCCATTAGTTTGATAAGGATTTTGGCTAGGAAAGTTTACCTTAACCTTGTCCAAGTGTAGCTCTGGAGCTATGATCTTTCTCTGATAGGCCCATTTGGCTCCATTGGATGTGATAATTCCCTGCCCAAGCAGAGGACCCAGCTCCTTCTGTTGATATGAAGGCTTTCCCAAGTCAAGAGAGGTGGATTGGCTTATTTCCTTCACCATATTAGGTTCGCTCACATATAACAACTGCATCTTGCCTAGTGAAAACATGAATAGCCGTCCTGTAGGGCAAAACAAGCACAAAATAGGACCAAAATTAGAAATATGAAGAGGTCTAAAAGGAAAGTTTTGAAATATCAGGATCTTAAAGGGGATTTATAAAAATCTTGAATTATGGTAAAGCTTGGAAGTTGGAAAAAGTTCAGAATATCAAGTCGTCTGCCTAAACAGACTTCCTTCTGGAGGGTGGGTACCTGGAAATGGAGCTTGAATTGTCAAGTAAAGCTAATTGAATCATGAAGGTTTATATATTACAGAATAATAATTAATATATAAAATAAAATAATGTAATATAAATTGTGATATATTAGAGTTGGGATACGGGTAGATCCGGAACGGATCCGATTTTCACAAAAGATATTTATTTGTGTCTGCCACTCTGCCTTAATTTAACCGGATTCAGAATGGGTCTGGACCATGATCCGACCCTTACAACCTTTCTTGTAAATGTTTGGAAATTAATTGAATTTATGGGTTTAATAGTTTTAGGAATTCTGTTGTGATTGTTGACCTCTAATTTAATTGGTTGGCTTTGGTAAAATTCAAATCACACAAGAGCAAACATTACCCCTTTTTTGGTCACCCACCAACTTGACCCAATAGAATTCGGACCTAATTTAAGTCATTACTTTGTCTTTTGTCCTTTTGCTTTTTGTTTTTTATACTAAACAAATTTCAACTCTTTGTTTTTTCGCTAACAGGTAAAAGTTTCAAATGAATAAAACTTTATAATTACCCAAAAAAAAAATGGAAGAACAAGGATTTATAATGGCGAATATATCTTAAGAACCAAAGGGCCCTTAGTAAGGAAATTGTAGAATGTGGTATTCCCTTGTTTTCTTTTCCTAGGTGTATCATAGAATCCTTCTCTATATTTGTCTATTTATTCAATCTGTAGATGATGTCGGATCAAAGTCTACAAGTGGCCCATTAAAGCATGTGCTTCCATGTCAGTGGCTCCAATATGCCATGAGACCAATTTGGCATCAGAGTGAACACGGTCCACTGTCAATGGATCGGATCTGGTCAAGAACAGGATGGAGCCAGCTCTGAACCAGATACTTTCGGTTCTGTAAAATCATACTTAAAACTGAACCGATTGTTAATCGAGTCTGACCCAATTATACTTGATATCTATAATTTATAGATAATATAACAACTTGGTTCATTTGATGATATAACCTTAATGTAAAAATGCCATTAAATAGTTAACCTTTTATCCATTGATAAAACAAGTTTTTTTTTTTTAACTAAAATTATAAATTGTGCTGATTATGAAATTTACCCTTTTAGAAATAAATGTAATAAAAATTATAAGAAAACATTATACCTTCATCTTTTATTAATTACATAATCAGGACAAAATTCAGAACCAGAACTGGTATAATCAGTCTGATTTGGTTCGGTTCCATTGAGTTGACCCAACTCATTGACAGCTATGAGGTGGCCCAATCTTTACTTAAATACAATTGCCATTCTTACAATTGCTATAATCAGACAATATGCTGTTAGTAGACTTTAATCTAAAAGAAAGACCAAATACGTGGATAAAGCAAATTCACTGGGCCCAGTACAGAAACCGAAGCTATTACTCGAATCTCTTTCTTTTGTTCATATAAATAGAAATAGTTAAATAGTAAGAAACTGAAGCTTCAAATATTGGACACAAATGGGTCTAGAAAGAGCCAGATAGTATACAAGTGGGCCTATGTTGGACACAAGGCATGGACAAACTCAAAATCACAGGTAAGCAGTGTCTATGCTGTACAAGTGGGCCTTAAGCGCATCTTGTCAGTTGTCACTAACACAACCACCAAGGTTTGATGTCCCTTCAGGGTTATAGCACACTCTTGATTCTTGAAATCAAATCTCTCCATGTTAGGGGAATCAGGGGAGGGGTACTCCCCCTGCTTAGCCCATTTGTATGCAGGGTTTAGACTGTATGGAAACACAAAATTTCAATATCATGTGATTCAAAGAAGTGATGCTCATAGATAAATTTACTTTTAGGTTCCAAGGTTCAAACCAGAATATATACTAGAAAGGGTATTAACGATTGAAAATGGGAATTCATCCCAATCTCTTTTATGCATAGATGGTTCAAAAAATGAAAACTAGGGAAAATTTCTAGGATTACCCTTAAGCTTTAGGAAATAGGCTTGTACACCCTTACTGTTTATAAAATCCCTTAGGACACGTTTGCTTTTCCGTGAATTATTTATTTGAGTAAATGCATTTTATCTAGGTAAGTGTATTTATTTATGTTCTTTTATTTTTCAAGTTAATAAGGCAATAATCGTTTTAGCTATAAAATTCTATTATTAAAAGGGGCATTTTTTATCTTACTTAGGAGATGGGTATCACTTATACGAGTAACTGGTGTCCAACAAAATAAAATTTTCATGATCCCCACATAAATCTGAAAAAAGAACATGGGTTTCTTGGTCAATGGAAACATCCAAAAAAACAAAGGTAAGCCAAAACCCACCATCACTTTTTATGAATTCTCTTATTATATATTTGGCATCAATGCTGCAATTGCATCACTGTTTTCAAAAAACGGTGTTGCTGATGTGTGGCTTGGGGCATCGTTTTCTCAAAAAATGGTGTTTTTTTTTTTCATTTGGAATCATTGCAGCCAGATAGGACGTTTTCTAGAGCAACAACAATTTTTTCCCTGTTGACAGCAACAAGCTGCAGCTCCAGAAAATGCTAAATTTGACATTGCACCAAACCATGCCTTCCAGATTTTTAAGATATGGCTTGAAACACCATTTTCTTTATAGAAAAACGGTTCAAAACAGATGCTTAAACTTACCATAACTTTTTAAAACGTCCAAAACTCACCATGAGATAACGGTTATGTTCCATCCATTTTACTATTTTACCCTTTATTATGTTCGATCCATTTTACTATTTAACCTAAATGTCCGATCCATCATGCATGAGTGTGAATATTAAAATATAATGACAGACGTGTTGGCGTCATTCTTGTGAGTCTGAATTCTTCCAACTCTCGCTTTCTGGTCATTTCAGCGTCATACTCATCGCCGGTGTAGGTTTGCGTCGTTGAAGGCTGAAGAAAAGAAGAGAGAAATTGAGTGGTGGGGGAGAGGAAAGGAGAGAAACCAGATCTGAGCTCATTGAGAACTCCGGCAGAAGATGACCGGAGAATGAGTTGTACTGCAAGAAGAGGGTGTGAAGATGGGAGCATCGTTCTTGTGTCAAGAACGGAATTAGACGCTTGTTCTTGGACACCGATACAAGAACCGGAGGAGGGCATGAAGACGGAAGCATACGTTCTTCTTTGCTCTCCAGTCCCCGGAGAAGGAGGGCGCGAAGCCGGGAGCATACGTTCATCGCTGAAGATCTGAGGAGGGTATACATATTTGGGATGGTGGGCGTAGTAGTAGAAAAATTCGTTCTTCTTTACCTCTACTTTCGTCTCCTCTTCAGTCCCCGGTTTCGCTTCTTCACCGTCTTCTTTCTTCTCCTTCTCCCCTTCTCTTGTTCCTCCGCTTCTTCACCGTCTATTCATTGGGCCCTTAAGGGAAAGGGAAGGCGCTTAAGGCAATCCCCAGGTTCTGAGGACGATCAATTAAGATTCCCGTTTCCCTAGGAAACTTTGAAATAGGATTGGGGCACTTAAGGGCATTTCGGTCAAAGAAATATTTAATAAGCTGATTCATCATTTAAGAGCAATTTGATTATGAAACCTGCATTTAGGTTGACGTAGACAACTTGCGTCAATGAAAAGTTATGTTTTGAAAAGGTTAGAGAGAATTTATAAAAAGCTCACTGACATGGTGAGCTTTCGACATTTTGAAAAATTACGTTTAAGAGAATTCCCTCTAATTTTCTGTCACATTCCATTTGCATGTGACATCATAGTACACACTAAATTTTTCAAAAACTCAGTTTTGTCCTCAACCCAACCTTGTAACTGTGGGAAAATATGAGATGAGATAAGAGAGAGAGAGGGAATCTAACAGCTAGCAGAGATGATTTAATTGTAGAAATATAGTACCAACATGGATTTCCTACTCTATACACGTCCATTCTTAGAGGGAACATAAGGCTAAGGCCCTCCGATGGAAGCTGAAGCACCTGTAGGTACCATGAGAGCAACATGCATGCTCGGGGTGTTGAAAGTGAAGCCCTCAAATAGTCTAAGTAAAATTCACTTGTCCTTTCATGAATCCATGGGCTGGGCTGTAATTCAAGACCTTAATGTATTCATCAATGGCGTTACTGTAACCGAAAGCCAAAAACTTCTGTAAAAGTCCCCGAAGTCAAAACCTTTAACTCTTCGGTGGATGTACTCATTGTAAAGACCTTATTGTATTCTTGCACTGTAAGGTCATGTTTTATTTTGTATTCAACGTGCAGATTTTTTTTTTTTTTTTTTTTTGGAAGGAGCTTATCGGAGTTTCTGTAATCAATTTAACAGCAGTCAGTCTTAGTCTTGCTCCCTTTTTGAACACAGACCACTGAGACAGAGTGGTCTAGATCTAGGTCATACAGACCAAGGTTGTACATTTTTCTACTGCAAGAAACAAAAAACAGATAAAACCTCAAGCGATTCATGACAAAAATCAAAAACTTTTGAAAAATATTTGAAATAGAACAATGATTCAAACTTGTGAGCTATAACTCAATAATCAAATTGAGCTGACATCACAAAACAAGACCTAAAACAAATCTAATTAGTAAATCAATAAAAATAGCACCGAGTTTGTTAGTGTCTTTTCTCTTGGTTTTTTATTTGTAATCATCTCTTTTCTTTTTGCCTCCTTCCCAAACCATTGCAACATCAAGGAAAGAATGGAGGACTTGGTTTGAAATAATGAAAGAGAATGGGATATATTGTTTCCCCCGTGTTCCTTAATTTTTCATGTAAATAAGGTAATGATCATTTTACCCATAAAAATCCACTATTAAAAGGGGCATTTTTGTCTCATTCAAGTGTTGATAACTTTCCCTAGGTGGGAAAGTTATTTACCCACCTAGGAGATGGGTATGGTAAATGATACCTGGTAAAATGACTTTCTCTGGTTCCCACATAAAACTGAAAAAAGAACACGGGATTCTTGGTCAATGGGAACCAAAATCCCATTGACCAACTTTCCCCCCTCTCCAAATCCAAAAAAAAAAATGAACGCCCCCTAAGGCCCCGTTCACTTTTTGGTAAGTTACTTGCCCACATAAATGCAGTTATCTAGGTAATTTTTTCTTAGGAAACACTTATCTAGATAAGTGTATTTACCCATGTTCTTTTATTTTCTAAGTTAAAAAGAAAATGGCCATTTTAACCATAAAAACCCATTATTAAATGGGGCATTTTTGTCCCATTCAAGTGTTGGAATTTTTCCCCCAGGTGGGAAAGTTATTTACCCACCTAGGATACCTAGAAAAATAAATTTTCTCTGGTCTATACATTAATCTGAAAAAAAAAAAAAAACATGGGGTTCTTGGTCAATGAGAAGCAAAATCTCATTGAACAACTTTCCCCCCTCTCAAAATCCAAAAAAGAACGCCCCCTAAAAGGTTTTACAAGCAGTAATAAGTTTAAACATTGGAATAGTTTAAGAGATTTCCCTTACAATCCACAACGATTATGTATTGATATTTTAAATAAGTTGAATGAAATGTAAAAATGGATGAGATTTTTCACATGGTGGTTCGTATTTTGTAATTTAAAGCCAAGACAACTATTGACATGGAATTGTAGTAAAGAAATGTTTACATCAATAACTTTCATTACCACGGTAGAGAAAAGGAAATCCAGGAAAAAAGTCAAATAAATATTCATTTTATACATTCATTTGGGATAAATATCACCAACAGCAGGCAAGTGGTAGGTAGGAAAGAAAATTGCTTGAGAAAAGGGTGGCTAGCATCAAGAAGTACAAAGCGTGAAAGCAATAATCAATTGTATTAAAAGTGATTTAGTACGAGCAGATGGGAATTGTTTAACAACCAAAAACACCAAGTTATGATTTTTAACTTCTGTCATTTTGTGCTCAGGCAGGTGGGCTTGTCAACTAACATTGCTATAGCTAGCGCTAACACCCGTGAATCCCTCTAGTTGGAAATGAATAGTGAGAGGATTGGAGATAAAGGAAATAAACAAATAAAAATAAGTAATGCAAACAAGGAATCGAAACTGTTTACTTCACTGTTTCCTTTAACAAAAAGACTAAACAAAATATTCAATTAATAAGTGTGACCATTATTCTTATTCTCACTTTTATTATTAAATCTTAGGATTTCAATTTAATGATCCAGATAAATTGGATGTCTCAATTTAATAATATATTCGATATATACTTTAATTACCCAAAAATTATATATTAAAGTAAAATGCTCTACTCGTGAACCATTATTTAATGGATTATAACATCTAATTTTTCTTTCTTTAATTAATTTAATTAATTTTGTTTTGTCTTTTTTTGTAGAATATTCTGTGGAGTAGTACTTCTGCCCGGTACAATAAGATACTAATAACTTGAGAAATCAAAAGGGTGGATTTGATGAAATTGTTAGGATGGGGTTGGCAAGTTTATAAAGCCATCACAAAGAATACATTTCATTGATTGGTTGGTTGGTCGAAAGTAGATAGGTCTTTCTTTACAAATTCAAGTACAAATGCAAATATGTAGAGTACAAAACCTTATATTTTGTATTACTTTGGTTGTATTTGCCCTGTACATATTTGTATTTGTACTCCTTCCAAACTGAGTCATAATTTCATTTGCATTGATGCAAAATTGTTGGAGTATCAATAATTTGAATGAGAATTCTGATTTATTATTGTTTCATAATTTGCCTTATTTCATTTGCATTGTTTCATATTTGCACCTTGTAGTAGTGCAAATGAAATTGAAATGCAAACAAACAGAGCCTAAGCCCTTGTTTGTTTCCAGTGCAATTTGATTTTCATGGGTGCAGATGAGCTAGAGTCCAATTTGGGTTTAATTTTGTTATAGACTTTCCTTTATTCTATTTGTTTGCAGTGCTTATGAAGTAAAATGACAACTAAAGTGGAATAATTTAAAAGCTGGTGCAAAAACAGACCAAATTGTTTAAAATTCACATTTGCATTCCCATCCATTTGTACTAGTACAAATGGAATTGAATTGCAAAGAAACTGAATTTAAGGAAAAACAAAATCAGGCCATTCAATTAAATTTAGGAGATCATTGCAAATTGGATGGAACTTAGACCTTTTGGCTTTCTAAGAAGCTTAGAATGGTTTATTGAAGAGCAACGGAGAAAGAGAGGTAAGTGATGTACCATATTTCTCGCTCCACTGGTGGAAGAATGGAAATATGGTGGAAGAGCAGTTGTGGAATATGTCTTGGCTTCCTTCTGGTGTAGACTTTGCAACTGACAATTTCGCCGCCTTCATCTCTCGAATATTTCCCAGAAGAAAAGATGGTGGAGGACCGCAGATTCCTTGCTTTTGAAGCTCACATCTAATCCTTTGAGGCTTAACCCAGAGAATGTTACACAGATGTATGAACAAGCTGAAAGCACCAACCACAACTAAAGAAAAGAGAAACTGGAATCCCATCTCCCTCTCTCGTATGTCTCTCTCTCTCTCTGATCTCTCTCTCCATGAACAAACCCCCACCTTTTTATATATAATTGTGTTGGGTATGTATACAAGACGTATTCAATACCCAACTCTACCAAATGCTTAGGAGACAACAAGAATTATATACAGCAAAGGTTGCTCTCAATCATAGTTGATTCACCTCAAATTCAATGGGCCCTCTAGTAAGGAGAAAATTTGGGTTGACAGTGATCTATGCGTTAGAGAATAGAAACCTATTCAGGGACTTAGTGTTTAATCTTGAGATGGTATTAAAGCCTATTTAATCAAGTGATTTAGTGTTTAATCTTCATTCCTTCATTATAATTAATTAAATTTTAGTATAAAGTATAATTATGCTTGTGTTTATCCATGCTTTAAGTCCAATAAGCTTTTAATAAGAGTCATGTTAAAAGATAAAAACCTATTTTGAGACATCACCCAATAACTTAAGCATTAGGTTGAATTAGTTGAAACTATTGAACTTTGTGGGATTGATGAGCCATACACAAAAAATTTGTGTGGAGTTATTTCTAAGAAGTACCCACACCCTGTACCAGACCTCGTCTTCACCTTACCATACATTTACAACTGACCCACTTGTCTCCTACCCTCCAATCCATCCGAAAGAATAAATGGTAAAAGAAATAACTAAATAAAGCTGTTATGGACCCTCACTAAGAGGACAATCCTACCAATGAATGGCCTTATTCAGTGCTTTTGGTGAATTGTTGTCTCTTAGTGAATGTCATTATAAATATGTTGTGAGCTTAGCTAAATGAAATTCTGTTTTGATTCTTTTAGCCCTGAATGTTTTATTCCACAAACAAATAATAATAAAGCAGCAGTTCTGCTAATAAACTGTTATGGGTCGGGACCCCTCACTAGCTAGACTAGTAAATAGGCTTCACCAAGATCACCTGTAGACTGTAGTTTAAACTATTTGAATTATTTTTGAACTTTTATTAGTAGTTTATTTACAAATTACATAAATTTATTAACATTCTAACCAAATATATCTAATCAGAATCACTGTTTTTTTTCTGTCTAGCTTTGATTAGAATAGGACCTATTTGATGGTGGTCCCACTCTTTTTTAACTTAGATTCGTTGCAGCTTTGGAGGGTGCTCTTATTGTAGAACACCTCTATGAAAATTAGTACAAAAAAGAAATTATTTGTTACATTGCCTTATTCACACTATCGGTATTATAGCTGGTTAGATTAATTAATGCATGAATGCCTGTTGGATGTTGTGGGCATTAAGGAGATTGCCCCAATTAAACGTTTATGGCTTACACACTAAAGAACAAAACAATAAGCCATTCAGTTCAGCCAATTGAGAGTCAAATAGACCCTAAATAAATTTATCGGATTTCGTTCTCTTCTATTTTTATTTTTTCTTCTTCACAAGGCTGTGTAAAATGGGTATGCATCTTTCCGTTCACAGAAACATGAACCTGAGTTGGACCCTTCATCTCCATTTGAGTTTGCAAAGAAGGGTTCCATCATTCATAACAACACACATCTCAACCAAGTTCTTGTTCTTCCTAACTTTAACAAAAGAAACTTTGTCAATAACTGTTAATGAATGAGACTTATAATTGTCCATAGCAATGTTTTCGAACCACCTTTAACATGGATGGTCGGATTGTTTGGCCTGAGACTGTTCAGGCAATCGGTTCCATTTTATTCAAAATCTAATCTCTAATAAAAAACTATTGAATTTGTCAATAACTCATTAATTCAGGTGGTCAAACTGTCAATCCATTTAACAGTTTTCAACCATATTTTATTTTATTTTTATCAGAACAGTCCATTCATTTGAATTGAACCATTAACCCAAAAACCAATGGTCAGAACGGTTCTAATTCCAAGTCGTTTTTAAAAAATTGGTCCATGGAATCCCATCCATACATAACCCACAACTAATTATAGAAGTATCTATGTTATTTGACTTTTCACTACTACCAGAGAAAGCAGCCTCCTGCCTAGAGAAAATGAAAGCAAATCATTCATTCATGAACCTTAACCTTTCAATTGAAGCGGAAGATTAGTTGATTTCTTGTGTTATTGTATTTCTTAACTCTAGTCTCTCCAAAACAAACTAGGTCATTAGAATATTTCGGTTATTAGATTTGTATAGATTTTGGGTTAATGTAAATCTGAAAGGATTCTCTATGGATTGGACAATTTATGAGTATGAGCGTCACTAATCTTCTCAAAAAAAATATATTCCACATCAAATGGATTAGACCTCTAGAATTAATATTTAATATATAAAATAACAAATATATAATAGATAAGTGAAATGATAGAATGTGGGGACGTAGATTAAGATAATTTAGTCATCATGTGTAGAGAATACCGTTCATAGCTCCTGTAAACATAAGTGATCTATCACAAGTTGAAAGGAATCCAAGTTTCCTGCTAACACCACCCACCTTCCAGCATTTGTAGCCGTGCATCCGTCATACTTGAAAGTATACAAATACGGAAGTTGCATGTTCTTGATGTGAGGCTGCAACATGTTATAAGGTGGGTGTTGGACCTGAAGAAAAGGAACCCAAATTTCTTCACACAAAATGGTGCTCATACTCATCTCACAGCACTTGTAACCGTGCATCATGAATGAAAGCATATAAATATGGGAAATGTTTTCGATGTGCAGCTATAACATGTTGTGAGGTGGGTATTGAGACCATGGTGTATATGACGAGGAAACCCAACTCTGTTGAAAGGGACCAGAAAGACTAGGGCAGACTTGAGGAAAATGAATCAAAATTGTAAAAATCAAATGGAATAGATCTCCAGAATCAATATATGAAAAAAAAAATATATATATATATATATATATATATATATATATATAATTATAGATAAGTAGAAGTGATAAAACAATAATGAAAAGTAGACTAAGATGGTTTGGTTGTGTGTAAAGAATAACAACCATGGCACCAATCAAAGGAAATGATGATCTATTGCAACCTAAAGGGCTTGAGACCAAAAAAGACATGCATTGATTTACTAAAAAGTGATTTAAGGGTTCATAATTTAAGAATTTATGTAACGCTGAATAGAATGTAATGGCAGAACAAGATTCATATAGCCGACCTCATGTATTTGTGACAAATTAAGATAATATAATCCTTTGTTTTAAGGATGGGTTCTATGAACTAGCTGGGCTCCACATAGAAATATTGATGTTTTCATAAAAAGGAGTCAGCATTGCATGTTCCGAACGAACTGGATTTCCTGTCAACAAAACACATTCCAACACTCTACCAACATTATCTGGTACCTCCAATCTCATACATAATGTATCCCACTTTATGATGAATCTCAATCTCATAGTAAGATATGTGGTATCAGATCATGTTGGTAGAGTATTGGAATATGTTTCATTGGCGAGAGATCCTAACTCGTTCCAAACAACATGGACTATCTTAAAATTTCGCATGACACATTGACATGGGTGTGGGGTAATATAGTAATAACAATTGATATTCTTTTAATAAAACAGACGAATAAATAATTAAGTGGGGTAGTGTATCATGCATAAAAAGCTTTAAAACGAAATGGGATCTACTACAAACAAACAATTCCAGCAAGCATCCCAACAAGAAGGGCCAGTCAATACCATCACATAATTGCTTAATAAGTCCTTTTAAGCTAGCTATATAGCTAGGTGGGTCTGCTTTATTCATCGGAAGAAGAATCCAACCTAGAACGTATTTTTGTTGGGTTAACGTGTGGTCTAGATGATGAGCCTCACAAGCTCCAGTTCCCCACATGTGGTCCATGTGATCTCCCGTGAATAAGATTGCTGGTTATTGCTGGATCATGTGCAAACATTTTCCTTTCTTATTAGTTTGGAAGCTTGTTAAGCAAAATTATGGGAAATTCTTCCCTCATTGTAAGATCTAGGTGGTGCCTGACCCACCATTGAACGGCTACAATTTAATAAATCATCTACGTGAAAATAGTATGATCATCAATCGACAATTAATTCTATTTGTCTGGTGATGATCTGGGTGGATCAGATGTTAAACAATTAATTATATTTTTTTGTTCGTATTTTAGTCATTTATCATTATTCACACTTTTTAATATTATGAATACATATGCCAATTTTTTTTATACTTTTTTGTATTTTTATTCATACATTTTGTATGTCCTTTTTTGAAACATTAAATCGTAACTGTCTGAAGTTGCAAAGCTAGAACACAATTAATTGGTCTTAAAGGTGCAAGTTCAAACCCAACCATAACTCAACATGATTTTCAGCTTATACAGTCAATCACATCCTAATCCAACCCAAAGGTGATTTTAGGATGAATTTGAGTGCCTTGCCTGGGATTTTTCCAGTTTCATTATTTTGCTTTTTTATTATTTTTAAATGTTTTCATTTGTCATATTTTTTTATCAATGACAAAACTTTCATTAATTAATCAAAATAATTAATTATAAAAAGGGGAAGATAAACTCTCTTAATTCCCTAGCAGAGGCATGAACACCACAATGAGAAACCAGAATTACAAATTTACAACTGAGCCCAAAATATAGATTCCCTGACCACCCCTAACTTGGCTAACTCATCAATAAGCAGATCTCTTCACCCAACTGAACTTTATTTCCATGTCCTTAACCAGCCATCTGAATTTTCTCCTTTAATTGTTGTAGTTCCATAATCCAGCCTTGTCTTCTTGCAGCCAACCTACCACCACCCTTGAATCCCCTTCAATAGCAAGCCTTCTAATGTTCATATCCAACTCTTTAGGCACCTTCCAAGACTACAGAGATCTCATCCTTGAGAGAGTCGACACTCCCAATTGGGCATGAGAACAAACCTAAAACAGTCCCATTCTCATCCTTAAATACACCCCCAATGCCTAACTGCCCAGGATTCCCTCTACTACTATCATTAAAGTTCAGCTTTTTATATAAATCCACTGGGGGGAGGAGTCCAAGACAGACTTAGACCTGTTTTGACACGGCTACTAGCAATCTCTCTCCAATTCC